GGCTATCTTCTGTATACCACCCCTACCTTGTCACAACACAACTGATTGGCTCAAATGCATTAAGAAGGAAAGAAATTCCACAAATTAATTTTTAACAAGGCATTCCAGGTGACTACCTCATGAAGCTGGTTGAGAGAATGCCAAGAGTGTGCAAAGCTGTCACCAAGGCAAAGGGTGGCAATTTGAAGAATCTCAAATATAAAATATATTTAGATTTGTTTAACACTTTTTTGGTTACTACATGATTCCATATGTGTTATTTCATAGTTTTGATGTCTTCACTATTATTCTACAATGTAGAAAATAGTAAAAATAAAGAAAAACCCTTGAATGAGTAACTTTTGACCAGTAGTGTAATAGAGCAAATAGTAAATATGCTCCACGTTGTTGATAACCTTAACACTGTCCCATAGTTGTTGACAAAACCCTAAGTAATCGTTTCACTACGACACATGTCTAAGACCAATGCCATATGGCCTGACTCAGCAGAGGAGAGCAAATGATGTCCTAGGATGAGAAGGAATGCCTGCAGTGTAGACAACTGTACATGTTCTATTCCAGTGCATTTTCAGGACAGAGGCTGTGTTGGTTTGAGTGTCATCCGAGTTGAAGGGAGGGACAGACACAGTCAGACAGTTGGCATGTGCCTGCCAGCTCAATGTGAGAGCCAGCCAGACAGCCACTGTGAGAGTCTTCAGTACAGTAACCACTCTATTAAAATAGAATGCCCCGTATGCATGTCATCTGTCACAAAATGTACAGCACATCAAAATATACATGCTCTCAGTGCTGGTTACGACATGATCATCATCATCATTAAAACGAGCCATTCAGCATTAGCCTGCTGTTTCATCAGTCAGCCAATAGAAGGCGGAGCCTGGCCATTGCCGTGGCGTGCCCTGTGAAGGGATGAAACTGAGTCCAGTGAGAGGAGTGGTGGAGAGTAGAAAGAGAGAGTGAGAGAGAAAGAAAGAGAGAGGGAGGGAGAGAGACAGAGAGAGCCGCCAGCCCGGCAGGCAGCTATGAACCCACTGGCCCTGCCAAGCATCCCATCCCATCTCCGTACCATCCCACCTCACTCCAGGCCAGACTAACTCAACCAGATGTGTGCAGCTTAATCAGAATCACATCAAGTCAAACATCAGACAGATATAAAGGAGGGGTGGGCCAGTGGGGGTGTGTGTGTGTGTGTGTGTGAATGAGTGAGACAGAGAGAGAGAGGGAGTGCACATTTTCTTTCTCTCAGACAAGTCGCCAGAAAAGACAGCAGAGGAATTTGATGACTGACTACTACAGTTTAGAGCATGTGATCTGAGCGTGTGTGTGACTGAGTGTGACTGTATTTTGAGCATGTGTCTGTGTCACTGAGTCCATGGAAAAGCATTGTTGTTTACTGTTGACTGGTGTGACTGTGTCCTCGGTCGACCCCGCTCTATGCTGTTCTAGTCATTCATTCCATCTAACTGGGCTTTATTAGGAGGAATTTCCCATGACATACTGGCCTACAGGGCACTACTGGGAAGAGGGGGAGGAGAGGAGAGGGGAGAAGGAGGGATGAGAGGAAGAAAGAGCAGAGGAAATTGATGTTGCTTTTCCACTGAGACTTACCCCCACACCAGGGTGTTTCCAGGACTTACCCCCACACCAGGGTGTTTCCAGTATTTTATGTTAATATGGCTCTAGTGTTATTGTGTTTCCATCAGGAGTGTGCCACTAAAGACTTGTGGCGAGCAGAATCAACAACATCTGCATTCAAGACTGTTGCTTTGTGAGACTGTGTTAAAGTCCACAGTTGGCCGTTGTTATGTAAATGACAGCTGAAAAGTACCCAGGGCCTTGCCTTGGCTCTAGGTTAGAGCAGGTCCACCGGAACACGGATGCAGTGAAACACGGATGCTGGCCTGCGTAGATGAAACAGAAAGGTCTGAGCCTTTTGGGTAAAAGACTGGGGTTAATCCTCAGTGGAAATGTGGCATAATGAGCTAGGAAGAGGAGAGGAAGTCAAAAGTGATATTTGCTCTGTTTTGTTTTCTATCTATCTCCCCCCTGTGGCTAAACATGGTAACTGTTTCGAGTATTTCACTACAGTGTTCTGGTGGTGGTTAAGCATGAAATGAACAGAGACACAATAAAGCCACATACTAATAGACCCATGATACATTTACTATATCATAATAGAAGTCCTGGACCTGTTTCATATGCTGTACTATAACATGTACAGTCGTGGTCAAAAGTTTTGAGAATTACACAAGTATTGGTCTTCACAAAGTTCGCTGCTTCAGTGTTATGAGATATTTTTGTCAGATGTTACTATGGTATACTGAAGTATAATTACAAGCATTCCATAAGTGTCAAAGGCTTTTATTGACAATTACATTAAGTTTATGCAAAGAGTCAATATTTGCAGTGTTGACCCTTCTTTTTCAAGAAACCGCCCTGGCATGCTGTCAATTAACTTCTGGGCCACATCCTGACAGATGGCAGCCCATTCTTGCATAATCAATGCTTGCAGTTTGTCAGAATTTGTGGGTTTTTGGTTGTCCACCCGCCTCTTGAGGATCGACCACAAGTTCTCAATGGGATTAAGGCCTGGGGAGTTTCCTGGCCATGGACCCAAAATGTCGATGTTTTGTTCCCCGAGCCAATTAGTTATCACTTTTGCCTTATGGCAAGGTGCTCCATCATGCTAGAAAAGGCATTGGTCATCACCAAACTGTTCTTGGATGGTTTGGAGAAGTTGCTCTCGGAGGATGTTACCATTCTTTATTCATGGCTGTGTTCTTAGGCAAGATTGTGAGTGAGCTCACTCCCTTGGCTGAGAAGCAACCCCACATATGAATGGTCTCAGGATGCTTTACTGTTGGCATGACACAGGACTGATGGTAGCGCTCACCTTGTCTTCTCCGGACAACGTGTTTTCCGGATGCCCCAAACAATCGGAAAGGGGATTCATCAGAGAAAATGACTTTACCCCAGTCCTCAGCAGTCCAATCCCTGTACCTTTTGCAGAATATCAGTCTGTCCCTGATGTTTTTCCTGGAGAGAAGTGGCTTCTTTGCTGCCCTTCTTGACAACAGGCCATCCTCCAAAAGTATTTGCCTCACTGTGTGTGCAGATGCACTCACACCTGCCTGCTGCCATTCCTGAGCAAGCTCTGCACTGGTGGTGCCCCGATCCCGTAGCTGAATCAAGTTTAGGAGACAGTCCTGGCGCTTGCTGGACTTTCTTGGCACCCTGACGCCTTCTTCACAACAATTGAACCTCTCTCCTTGAAGTTCTTAATGATCCGATAAATGGTTGATTTAGGTGAAATCTTACTAGCAGCAATATCCTTGCCTGAGAAGCCCTTTTTGTGCAAAGCAATGATGACGGCACGTGTTTCCTTGCAGGTAACCATGGTTAACAGAGGAAGAACAATGATTTCAAGCACCACCCTCCTTTTAAAGCTTCCAGTCTGTTATTCTAACTCAATCAGCATTTCAGAGTGATCTCCAGCCTTGTCCTCGTCAACACTCACCTGTGTTAACGAGAGAATCACTGACATGATGGCCGCTGGTCCTTTTGTGGCAGGGCTGAAATGCAGTGGAAATGTTTTTTGGGGATTATGTTCATTTTCATGGCAAAGAGGGACTTTGCAATTCATTGCAATTCACTCTTCATGACATTCTGAAGTATTTGCAAATTGCCATCATCAAAACTGAGGCAGCAGACTTTGTGAAAATTAGTATTTGTGTCATTCTCAAAACTTTTGACCACGACTGTACAGTGTGGGCATGCTGTCAGAGATGTACATGCTGTACATATAGTGTAGTGCAGGGTTCTTCAATTCCAGTCCTGGAGGGCCGAAACACTTCTGTTTTTTATTTCTACCTGGTAGTTAATTGCACTCACCTGGTGTCCCAGGTCTGAATTAGCCCCTGATTAGAAGGAGAGGATGAAAAACAGAGGTGTTTCGGCCCTCCAGGACCGGAATTGAAGAACCCTGGTGTAGTGTGTACAGTAGTGTAAAACATTACATTATAAACTCACTTTAGTGGTCACTTGTAAACTCACTTGAGGGTGATAATTTACACTCATGCATTTAAGGTTAGCCTGTGTAAGGGATGAATTGTCAAATAGAATACCCTGAGTTATGGTTTGTGATTCCAGACATAGCAGACATGAGCAGAGGTGTGCATTCCTGCACACAAGTGCACACTTACACACACACACATCTATGCAGACACAACCAGCCAACCTCCTATTAGTGAGGAAGTGCGTAGATATTTTGTATAACGTCCAGATTCTGATCTGTGATGTGAGTCAGAATGACAACTGAGTCTGGCTCTGGTGAAGAAAGCACTAGACAGTAGAATGCAAACCTGCTGCTGAAAATGTGGCCCAGACAGACAGACAGCCTTGAGGCAGAATCCAGAGGAGTTCAGTAAATAAAAGACCCAAGTAACAGTTTTTAGTTCCATTTAGAATATACGGAATGGCCGCTATGCAAACAACCCCGTCATTTCACCTTTCATCTTGACCTGCAAAAAGCCCTTATCCATATACCAGTCAGTCTACAATTGCATATGAACATCACATACACAACTTCCCTAACATTCCTTTGAGATATTCAGATTCATTCTGCTTGTCTAGCTAAGCAGTAACTAGGGAAAGGTTTAGTAACCATACATTATGAATGAAGAAGATAAAACAACCATGATGTTCTGTTCTGAGGCCTCCCCATGAGACTTCTATATCACGTTGTATCAAACTCCAATCTGTCCTGAGTGGGTTTCAGTCTGAGCCGTATGTATCCATGGATAGAACTCTGTCAGGTCTGTAGGTCTAGCTCTGTTTAACAGGCCTTCTTTTAGGTTCTAGAAGCCCAAGTTCTGGGTTGTGTTCAATAGAGAGAAACGTTTTCAAACTTAATGAAACAGGAAGGTACTACTACCTGAACATGTCCAATAAGAACACAGATTTACATTTTCTGTTGCAAAGTGTTATGCTACGGTGTTCCCTAATGAACAGGACCCTGTTCAGATCCACTATAGGGTATTTTATCTGGCCCCTCTGCGCTGCACCACGATGGTTCCTGCTACAATGTCATACACAGTCCTGTTGTGTTGGAAGAAGAGGAGGATAATGAAGACGGGGAACAGGAAGGCGATGGAGAAGTTCTTGTTCAACGCCCGCACCGTGGAACTGGGAAGGGGGAGAAAGGGTTGGAAGTTATTTTTTACAAGACTTGACAATACAGTGAGGGAAAAAAGTATTTGATCCCCTGCTGATTTTGTAAGTTTGCCCACTGACAAAGAAATGATCAGTCTATAATTTTAATGGTAGGTTTATTTGAACAGTGAGAGACAGAATAACAACAAAAAAATCCTGAAAAACGCATGTCAAAAATGTTATAAATTGATTTGCATTTTAATGAGGGAAATAAGTATTTGACCCCCTCTCAATCAGAAAGATTTCTGGCTCCCAGGTGTCTTTTATACAGGTAACGAGCTGAGATTAGGAGCACACTCTTAAAGGGAGCGCTCCTAATCTCAGCTTGTTACCTGTATAAAAGACACCTGTCCACAGAAGCAATCAATCAGATTCAAAACTCTCCACCATGGCCAAGACCAAAGAGCTATCCAAGGAAGTCAGGGACAAGATTGTAGACCTACACAAGGCTGGAATGGCTACAAGACCATCGCCAAGCAGCTTGGTGAGAAGGTGACAACAGTTGGTGAGATTATTCGCAAATGGAAGAAACACAAAATAACTGTCAATCCATGCAAGATCTCACTTCGTGGAGTTGCAATGATCATGAGAACCGTGAGGAATCAGCCCAGAACTACACGGGAGGATCTTGTCAATGATCTCAAGGCAGCTGGGACCATAGTCACCAAGAAAACAATTGGTAACACACTACGCCGTGAAGGACTGAAATCATGCAGCGCCCGCAAGGTCCCCCTGCTCAAGAAAGCACATATACAGGTCCGTCTGAAGTTTGCCAATGAACATCTGAATGATTCAGAGGAGAACTGGGTGAAAGTGTTGTGGTCAGATGAGACCAAAATTGAGCTCTTTGGCATCAACTCAAATCGCCGTGTTTGGAGGAGGAGGAATGCTGCCTATGACCCCAAGAACACCATCCCCACTGTCAAACATGGAGGTGGAAACATTATGCTTTGGGGGTGTTTTTCTGCTAAGGGGACAGGACAACTTCACCGCATCAAAGGTACGATGGACGGAGCCATGTACCGTCAAATCTTGTGTGAGAACCTCCTTCCTTCAGCCAGGGCATTGAAAATGGAATGGGTGGATGGGTATTCCAGCATGACAATGACCCAAAACACACAGCCAAGGCAACAAAGGAGTGGCTCAAGAAGAAGCACATTAAGGTCCTGGAGTGGCCTAGCCAATCTCCAGACCTTAATCCCATAGAAAATCTGTGGAGGGAGCTGAAGGTTCGAGTTACCAAACGTCAGGCTCGAAACCTTAATGACTTGGAGATGATCTGCAAAGAGCAGTGGGACAAAATCCCTCCTGAGATGTGTGCAAACCTGGTGGCCAACTACAAGAAACGTCTGACCTCTGTGATCGCCAACAAGGGTCATGTTTTGCAGAGGGGTCAAATACTTATTTCCCTCATTAAAATGCAAATCAATTTATAACATTTTTGACATGCGTTTTTTCTGGATTTTGTTGTTGTTATTCTGTCTCTCACTGTTCAAATAAACCTACCATTAAAATTATAGACTGATCATGTCTTTGTCAGTGGGCAAACGTACAAAATCAGCAGGGGATCAAATACTTTTTTCCCTCACTGTAGATAATATTAATTACATAGCAATAACCTAAACATGCAATACTAGGTTAAGATCAGTGGAAACAGTACCATAAAACAAGGGTTAAATGTCAAATCCCCATTTTCAAAGAAAGCTTTTCTCCATTTCAGAGACAGGCTTCATATCTAGCTATGTAGTATGCTATGAACTCACAAGCACTCAGGCTCCAGTGAGCATTTGTGTGCGTTTCATATTCAATGCTCAGTCAAAGTTATCTTGGTCACACCTTTGCATACGGAAATGCAGTAGTACTAGTGGTAGAAGTAGATGTCTGTAGCCAATTGAGCAAATCAAACCAGTCATATTTTCATCTGCTTTCAACAGAGCTAAAAAAAGATGTGTCACATGCAGTCAGTGACTTACGCTGACAGGGTGACGTTAGATGCCGGCACCACCAGTACCCGGTTAGGTCGGACCAGGACTGAACTGTTACATGTCACGACCCGAAGACCCAGGAGGAACTTCCCCGGGGTGGCACCGCCCGCACCCCAGATACAGATGATCTGAGAGGAGGAGGAAGGTCAGAGTGACAGTGAAAATATATCACATACTGTAAGTGAAATATTCTTCATAAAGATCAATGTTGATGCAATCCACACATATCACCATGAGTCAATATCTGTGGTAGGAAATGATTAATGTGTTTTCCATTGTGAATACAGGGGTTTAGGTTGTCACTCATTCTCAATGCTTTGTAACTTTATGTATAACCAACTTAACCCATATTATGCTGGTGTAGGCAATTGAAAGGTCACATACTAGCCTTAACCTTCTCAGGTAGCTACACTGAGACTGCACGATTGTTCTCACCGGAAACCATAGCCTAATCTCAGACTGACATAAGATCAATACTCAAAAACCTACCTCATAGAAGCAGAACAGCTCCCTATACACCAGAGATACTCTACCTCATAGAAACAGACCAGCAACCTGTAGACCAGAGCTACTGCCATCATCTTCTGCAGGTCCTCCATAGATGTGTTCTCATCTATCTCCTCAACTATGAAGTGGGTGATGAACTTAGTGATGTCCCTGTGGGGGAGAATAGAGTAGAGTAGAGTGGAATACAATAGAATAATCATGGACTATTATGATACTGAAAATAAATGTTCATTAATGTTATTTTCTTGTCTTTTTCTCCTCATTCAAGGCCATGGAAATGATAAAAGGCTAGACTGATTGACTCACTTCATGCCACTAAGGTGCATAATCCACAGGATGATGGTTGCCTTGATGCAAAATAAAATAAAAAAGTCCACTGTCTCGGCTAGGAATCTGTGGAGGGGAGAAGGGATGGTGTATTCCCGACCTGAAGGGGAGAAGACAACTTTAGCTATTGTACCCAGGTAGATTATGTTAAACTAATTTAGAGAGAATGTGAGCAGGCCTACTTTAAACCCCTGATCAATCCATTTAATTTTGTTCAGCCAATTAAGTCAGTGCATAGGTGATTTGCCTTAGATCAGGTGGGCTCAAGAGCTGACTTAAACAATGTATTCTATTCAGATCAACAAGGCCTCTGCAGATTGTAAAGATATGCATGAGTAGGTAGGTACACATCATGATTAGCCTGCTGTTTGCTCAAGAAGCTGCACGTGATCCTGTACAAGCAACTCATTCTAGTAATGAACAAATAGAGGAAAGGTGTTGTCTTTGTTTCTTTGACCCGAGTAGGCCTAGTTAGTAGCTACATGATGACACAAAAACGACCTGTACACCCAGAGTCAGTCAGTGAGTGTAGGCCTATAGCGCTATTGTCATCATAGACTTGTAGTGTACCTGCTTGAGGTGCGTTTCCGTTCTGTTGTTGCACTGGCCTTGCATCATGAGGCGGTGTCCCAGCTGTCATCTGCTGCCCTGTCTGAGCACCCGTAGTCGGGGGCGCAGGGAATGGAAAGGGATACCCCATTCCCGGATAGTTGTACCCATATTGGGCATCTAAAGTTGGTTGTCCAGCGGGCCATGGAGTTCCAGTCGGCGCTTGATAGTTTCCAGCTACGGGGAAATTGCACGGAGGAAAAGGAAACGTAGTCAGAGTCATCCAGCTTTGCCAATTTGCATAGCCCCAGTAATACTGCCACATCCATTCTTGCAATTTTGCGCAGTATTCAGTTGTGGCGTTGACGTTTGTTTGCGCTTCTTGGCTCTCTTCGGAACGCGAACTCGGTCCATTCTCTGTAGTAGTGGCCATGGTTAAACCACTTCTAGATCTCACTTAAATCCTTTCAAACGTAAAACGTCTTTCCCCAGCAGCTAATCTTCTGCTACAGTCATCCATGCTAACCTACTCTGAGTTGGAAGGTTCCATGTTGGGTGCAGAAAACAGGGATACACGGAACAATGATTCCACAAATGTATCCAGTCTGCAAATGCATTAGACGTTAGTTATACAAAATCGTTTATAATCGGGGTTGTGATTAAACTTTACATTCAATATAAATGAATATATAATCTTATTATTGGTTAATTACACAAATTACCATCCGATGACACCCCTAGAACAATAGTGGTATAGACCATATACTTTCGTTCATGTCAAGTTAAAGGGACAGTCACAATGGATTACAGTAACGTTCAAACCGGAGATTATGTAGTATTATTTCAAGATACTCTCTTCAAATCTAGATTCCCAATGTATTAATTATTTGTGTCATTCATTATGTCAGTGAGAATATTAGCCTATGAGTACACCTAAATTATTAGGTTATATCATTAGCCTATGAGCAGACCTCAATTATTAGGTTATATCATTAGGCTATGAGTACGCCTCAATTATTAGGTTATATCATTAGGCTATGAGTGGACCTCAATTATTAGGTTATATCATTAGGCTATTGCAATTTATTTGGGTCCAAGCCGATAAAGGCCAGAAGATAAGAATTACAGCTATATCAGATAGATATACATATAACTACCTTCTTCATGTCATGTGAATAGGCTTAGTCCTATACTGTAAGCGATCAACAACAAACTATTATTACCAGTTAGAGTGAGCTCGCCAGCTTGTAGTCCTAAAACCTGGAAATGAGCTACCTTTGGTTCTTTTGGCCCTTCCTATGGGGGAAATTAATAGGGAAATAATGGGGTTTTGGGATAAACCCCGAAAATAAGGTCTGGTTAACACAGGTTTAGGAGATCTTATACGTTTTGTTCTATGAGATAATATCAGTCAGTTAATATGACTATGAATTATGAAGCATTTATGTGCTTTATGTGCTTTTTCTGATTACATAAATGCTTCTAAATTCACACAAAGTGACGTTAGCTGATGAAGATTATCTCATAGAACGAAATCTATAAGATCTCCTAAGCCTGTGTTTATTACAGACCTTATCTTCAGCGTTTATCCAAAAACACAACAACAAAAAATTATCCCCATAGGCTTTGGCAAATGAGCCATGGCTGAGTAAGCCTCTGTTAGAGCCTACAAAAAGACGCCATGACTATTGCTCTCTATAAAGTCCTATCCTGTACATTCATGCATGGCAGACATACACCACAAGGTGGCAGCAGTGTCTTTCATACGTTTGGTAAAAACGTTCAACTTGCAGTTTTTAGAATTGAACAGTTTTCCATCTGCTTTTGCTTCAACCAATCTCTTGACAGATTTCCATCTCTCAAAGTTAACCCATACTGTAACTATCAGACTAAGATCATACATTTTACCATCAATACCTATGCCTATACATTCTGTAATTTATGTTTTTCTAAGATACATAAAAGCATGAGCTATGGATGGAATTTGACTATGTTCTAATGGCAAATAGGCTGGCTACCCCTTTAGGTATTGGTATTGTTTGGTATTTTATTAGGATCCCCATTAGCTGTTGCAAAAGATGATATAATACAGAACATTAACCCATAAAGTTCTAAGCCCTGTCTAAGCCGGGGGAGGGGGAGGGGGTTCTACTAAGCTATATGGAATTGTTTTTTAGGCATATAAACTCATCAAAAAAAGAAACGTCCCTTTTTCAGGACCCTGTCTTTCAAAGATAATTAGTAAAAATCCAAATAACTTCACAGATCTTCATTGTAAAGGGTTTAAACACTGTTTCCCATGCTTGTTCAATGAACCATAAACAATTAATGAACATGCACCTGTGGGACGGTCATTAAGACACTAACAGTTTACAGACGGTAGGCAATTAAGGTCCCAGTTATGAAAACTTAGGACACTAAAGAGCTAAAGAGGCCATTGTACTGACTCTGAAAAACACCAAAAGAAAGATGCCCAGGGTCCCTGCTCATCTGCGTGAACGTGCCTTAGGCATGCTGCAAGGAGGCATGAGGAATGCAGATGTGGCCAGGGCAATAAATTGCAATGTCCATACTGTGAGACGCCTAAGACAGCGCTACAGGGAGACAGGACGGACAGCTGATCGTCCTCACAGTGGCAGACCACGTGTAACAACACCTGCACAGGATCGGTACATCTGAACATCACACCTGCGGGACAGGTACAGGATGGCAACAACAACTGCCAGAGTTACACCAGGAACGCACAATCCCTCCATCAGTGCTCAGACTGTCCTCAATAGGCTGAGAGAGGCTGGACTGAGGGCTTGTAGGCCTGTTGTAAGGCAGGTCCTCACCAGACATCACCGGCAACAATGTCGCCTATGGGCACAAACCCACCGTCGCTGGACCAGACAGGACTGGCAAAAAGTGCTCTTCACTGACGAGTCGCGGTTTTGTCTCACCAGGGGTGATGGTCGGATTCGCGGTTATCGTCGAAGGAATGAGCGTTACACCGAGAGGCCTGTACTCTGGAGCGGGATCGATTTGGAGGTGGAGGGTCCGTCGTGGTCTGGGGCGGTGTGTCACAGCATCATCGGACTGAGCTTGTTGTCATTGCAGGCAATCTCAACACTGTGCGTTACAGGGAAGACATCCTCCTCCCTCATGTGGTACCCTTCCTGCAGGCTCATCCTGACATGACCCTTCAGCATGACAATGCCACCAGCCATACTGCTCGTTCTGTGCATGATTTCCTGCAAGACAGGAATGTCAGTATTCTGCCATGGCCAGCAAAGAGCCCGGATCTCAATCCCATTGAGCACGTCTGGGACCTGTTGGATCGGAGGGTGAGGGCTAGGGCCATTCCCCCCAGAAATGTCCGGGAACATGCAGGTGCCTTGGTGGAAGAGTGGGGTAACATCTCACAGCAAGAACTGGTAAATCTGGTGTACTACATGAGGAGGAGATGCACTGCAGTACTTGATGCAGCTGGTAGCCACACCAGATATTGACTGTTACTTTTGATTTTGACCCCCCCTTTGTTCAGGGACACATTATTCCATTCCTGTTAGTCACATGTCTGTGGAACTTGTTCAGTTTATGTCTCAGTTGTTGAATCTGGTTGTGTTCATACAAATATTTACACATGTTAAGTTTGCTGAAAATAAACGCAGCTGACAGTGAGAGGACGTTTCTTTTTTTGCTGAGTTTATTTAACCCCTTATTTTTGGCCCTAAACAGTCTCCATATACAGTGGGGAAGAAAATTATTTAGTCAGCCACCAATTGTGCAAGTTCTCCCACTTAAAAATATGAGAGAGGCCTGTAATTTTCATCATATGACAGACAAATTGAGAATTTTTTTCTCCAGAAAATCACATTGTAGGATTTTTTATGAATTTATTTGCAAATTATGGTGGAAAATAAGTATTTGGTCACCTACAAACAAGCAAGATTTCTGGCTCTCACAGACCTGTAACTTCTTCTTTAAGAGGCTCCTCTGTCCTCCACTCGTTACCTGTATTAATGGCACCTGTTTGAACTTGTTATCAGTATAAAAGACACCTGTCCACAACCTCAAACAGTCACACTCCAAACTCCACTATGGCCAAGACCAAAGAGCTGTCAAAGGACACCAGAAACAAAATTGTAGACCTGCACCAGGCTGGGAAGACTGAATCTGCAATAGGTAAGCAGCTTGGTTTGAAGAAATCAACTGTGGGAGCAATTATTAGGAAATGGAAGACATAAAAGACCACTGATAATCTCCCTCGATCTGGGGCTCCACGCAAGACCTCACCCCGTTGGGTCAAAATTATCACAAGAATGGTGAGCAAAAATCCCAGAACCACACGGGGGGACCTAGTGAATGACCTGCAGAGAGCTGGGACCAAAATAACAAAGCCTACCATTAGTTACACACTACGCCGCCAGGGACTCAAATCCTGCAGTGCAAGACGTGTCCCCCTGCTTAAGCCAGTACATGTCCAGGCCCGTCTGAAGTTTGCTAGAGTGCAGTTGGATGATCCAGAAGAGGATTGGGAGAATGTCATATGGTCAGATGAAACCAAAATATAACTTTTTGGTAAAAACTCAACTCGTCGTGTTTGGAGGACAAAGAATGCTGAGTTGCATCCAAAGAACACCATACCTACTGTGAAGCATGGGGGTGGAAACATCATGCTTTGGGGCTGTTTTTCTGCAAAGGGACCAGGACGACTGATCCGTGTAAAGGAAAGAATGAATGGGGCCATGTATCGTGATATTTTGAGTGAAAACCTCCTTCCATCAGCAAGGGCATTGAAGATGAAACGTGGCTGGGTCTTTCAGCATGACAATGATCCCAAACACACCGCCCGGGCAACGAAGGAGTGGCTTCGTAAGAAGCATTTCAAGGTCCTGGAGTGGCCTAGCCAGTCTCCAGATCTCAACCCCATAGAAAATCTTTGGAGGGAGTTGAAAGTCTGTGTTGCCCAGCGACAGCCCCAAAACATCACTGCTCTAGAGGAGATCTGCATGGAGGAATGGGCCAAAATACCAGCAACAGTGTGTGAAAACCTTGTGAAGACTTACAGAAAACGTTTGACCTGTGTCATTGCCAACAAAGGGTATATAACAAAGTATTGAGAAACTTTTGTTATTGACCAAATACTTATTTTCCACCATAATTTGCAAATAAATTCATTTAAAATCCTACAATGTGATTTTCTGGATTTTTTTCCCTCAATTTGTCTGTCATAGTTGACGTGTACCTATGATGAAAATTACAGGCCTCTCTCATCTTTTTAAGTGGGAGAACTTGCACAATTGGTGGCTGACTAAATATTTTTTTCCCCCACTGTACCTTATACTGCCATTCATTTTTTCAACTGGAACCGGGGGACCTTCAGACTAGTCAGACTGCTCTACGACTAGGGAGTCGTAGAGCAAAACAGAGAACACCATCGTCTTTGTGAGTCTCATCTTTCCATAGAGGGGTCATAAATCGTTCGGATGCTACAGACGATTTTGTGAGAAGAACGATTTTCGGGGTGTTTCATGGTC